GGACCGATCACCGATGGCCAATCGTTCCTTCCTACTGTGCCAAAGGTGGCTCAAAAATATCTTCCCTAGTCTGTCTATCCTAACGATATCCCTTCCCGCCTTTTCAAACCACTTCCTACTCCCCAGTACAGCTACCGTCCTCTCCTCTTATTCCATGCCTCAAACATCTCCCTGTACCTCCCTTGTATTTTTCCCAGCTCAGTCATGTACACTTCCCTCTCCTCTTCGTACAACTGACATTCCGCGACTACATGAACACGGTCTTCGCATTCGAAGCCGCAATCACATTTGACCTTGTCGTCTTCGTCGTCTACCGTCCTATGTCTTCGTCGACGTTCTCGAAGGCCTATGTCCCCGGTCCTGAATTTGACCTTAAGCTTTGTCCCTGCATCCATTGGTCCATGTAGGTAATCTTTTAACTCTATTCCTTCTTTCAGCATTCCGTCCACTTCTAGACCCTCCTTATCCTCGGTTTCTTTTCTTAGATTTTGTTCTTCTCTCTCGGCACAACCAACAGTTTTCTTCTCCTTGAACCCCTGTGGACCCTCCGTTTCCAGCGTTTCATCTTCGTCGATGTCGAACCCCTCCCATACGTCCTCTACAACCTTGACCCATTCCGTGGGTTGTCTACCCCTCTTTTTGTTTGCCCACTTCGCCTCCCATACTATTCTCGGCAACCTCTCCTCTCCCATCCCGCACGTGCGATACTGCCATGTCAGCTTCCTTGCGTCTTTTCCCGACCGTAGGGATTGGATTCCCAGTTCTGCCCTGACGGCTGCATTACTAGTGCGCTTGGAGCATCCTAGGATGATTTTCGCTGCTTTCATCTGCGCCGCCTCGAGTTCTTTTCACTACCTTCTTATTTCCTTACCATACTTCTCCGGCGTACTCTAGCGGTGGTACGATTACGCTCTTCACAACTTTCAATTTGATGCGTGTATCGAGGTGCCGGTTTGCGAGTATTGGGTGCAGCTTCCCTGCTCGTGCTTTGCCCTTTTCCGCTACCTTGGACATGTGTGTATTCCACGAGCAGTCTTTTGCGATCTCTACTCCGAGGTATGTGTACTGGTCCACTAATGCAATCTCCTCGATCCCCCACTTCCATCTATGTTCTAACTGGTTCCTCCCTGTCCTCGTTGCATACCATGACGGCACTCTTCTTAACGTTGGCAGACAATCTCCACTTATCAGTAAACTTCTTCGCCGCGTCAATTTGTAGTTGCAGTCCCTCAGGGTTGTCCGACATACCAACAAAATCATCCGCAAACAGCATTCCTGACACCGAAGTTTCCGTGTCTCCTACTTTTACTCCCTTCCGGACTGCCTCTACGAATACCAACAGATCGTTGATGAACACCTGGAACAATGTTGGGGACAGCGTGCAACCTTGTGGGACCCCCTGCTCAATGTCGAAGAATTTAGAGAGTTCTCCGTCTAGCATGACCGCGCTTTTCGTACACTCTGTCGTCATCTTCTTCAGCACTCTCCACATTCTCCCCTTGATCCCGTACTTGGACAATTGTTTCCACAGCCCATTTCTCCATACGGTATCGTATTCCTTTTTCACGTCCAGGAAGAAGCAGTACGTTGGCCTTCCCGCCCTCTTTCTACCTTGGATGATTCTCCCTACCGTGAATGCGTGGTCTACGCACCCCCTCTCCTGTCGGAAACCTGCCTGGCCCTCACTAATGCGACGTTCCTTCTCCAATACTCCCACCATCCTATCGTTCAGTAGCTTACATAACACTTTTCCTACTGTGTTCAACAGTGTGATCCCCCTGTAGTTTCCTGGGTCAGTCGGGGGGGGGAGGCTTGACTGAGGTAATATACAAAATACGGAGTAATAAGGGAGCTTGCTTGGTACCAGTTGTTTGGGGTATCAAAGCCCCGAGGCAACACGTGAGCCCCCACCCCCCAGGGGCATTGTGCTATCAATATGTCTCAATTACGAGAGGATTCGTTGTGTCAATTGCGAGAGGAGAGCAGGAACAGCAGCGCTCCGCCTCCAGAAAGGTAAGTGGTCAAGGACCACTTGACTCATCCTTTCAAAATACCCCCGTTGTATGGCTACGCCCCCGCCGACCCCCGTTGTCGACATTTCAGGTATCGCACGATGAACGACTGCGTTCAGCGGTGGAAGCACTTCTCCAACGGCAAGGCCTGGGCCAGAATATCGGCGCACAAGGAACCCATGATAGAGCCTCGCACCGCCGCAGACCTCAAGGTTCTAGTGTCGGGCTGGAGGGGGGCACGGGGGAGGGGAGGGGTACCCACGTAAACGCATGCTGTAGTCGTTGGACCTCTGACCTTGCATACCTACAATGGGGGGGGGGGGGGGGGGGGGGGGGGGTTTATTTTGGGGGGGGGGGGGGGGGCGGCCCCTTTTTCTTTCCCCCCAAATTGGGGAAGGGGTTTTTTCCTTTTAAGATTTTTATTCCCGGTAAAAGGGCCCCCAAAAAAATTTTTTTTATTTGGAAGGCTTTCCTCTTTCCAAAAAAAAGTTTTGTTTTCAAAAATTTCGCCTTTTCCCAAAGGGGGTTTGTTTTTAAACCCTGGGCCCCCCCCCAAGGGGATTTTTTTTTAGGGCCTT